AATACAAAGTTTTCTTTACCATTTATAGCTGCTCCTGCACTTTATTATTCTTATAGATTCATATGTGCAATTTATTCATTAAACTACAAAAATATTAGTCAACTGCTATTGTCTCATCAAGCAGAATATGATTTATGATAGTGTGGGAGAAAAAAAAATTGGAGCCTGTTCCCAGGCCAAATAGAATTCAGGCTAAACCAAATAGCCAAATATCATTTTGGGTGCCAAAACTCATCTGCTAAATCCAGGTTTTGACATCTAGACTTAGCCAGCAAGTTGCATGTTGCCGTTTAAAATTTCACAGAGGCCTGTATTTAGAGAAGACCTGATTTTTCATTTTGGTCTTTTGGTCTTCAGGGCTCTCCTGTCTCACCTGCACTTTGACACCCATTTGCATTATACCGGTAACGTCCCTGAATCATTGCTCCAGCCATGGGTCTTCCTGGACACGGATGAGACACGCTACCACTTGTCGCTGTTGCTACCTGTCAACATCAACATGCTCCAGACAAAACCTCGTGCCACTCTGGATAATACCTCAAAGCTATTTTTTTTTTAACCAACCTTTAGTACTTCAGCTTTTTAGCTTATCAGAAATTTCTTCAAGTATTTCATTGCACAAAATGCTATAAAAATAATAAAAAAAAAACAAAGCAGAGAAATAATGGACCCTAAGTATATCGCTGATTCTGCTACTCCTCAGGTAGACAGCATAGAGATACTTTCAAGGCAAAATAATAATATATTCAACCAGTGTTGAAGCTTTCAGGCCTTAATATCTGAAATAGAAATACCACTTGACCATAGAGCTTAGAAAGCTCTAGTAATGTCTCTGTTCCTGTTTTACATGTGTACACTTGAAGACAAAGACACACACACACACACACACACTGCATGAAGTGAAATATGCTATGAAGGACACTGATCCCACTGAGTAGTTGCTGCCCTGCTTTTCACAGCTTTAGAAACTGGAATTTGTATTTTTGACTAACACTCAGAGTTCCAAAAAGAAATGTATCTACCTTCCCTCCACATCGACTCCTAGAAACCAGACCAGAACAAACTTCATATCCTATCTGATCAGCAATTGACACAATCTCCTGGCAACAAATTTCCTGAGGTTTTGTTTCTTTCTTTCTTTCTTTCTTTTTTTTTTTTTTCAGAGAGTCTATATGTTTTTTTCTGAGAGACATACCAATATGTCTGGGAATGATACATTGCATAATATTAATAAGTCTGCAACAAGACTGAACATTTCCTGTCATTGCAAGTATTGCAAAATCTGGTCATCTGCAAAAAGCAGTGTTGCAAAATCGTATAGAAAATTGAAGATTACAGGGTGGCCAAAATTTCCTACTAGGGCACATTGCTGGACAGATCTTAAAATCTTCTACCTCCAATGTGCTAAAAGCAGTGTAAATGCAACCCACTGGAAGGTTCAAAATGATAACATCTTTCCTTCTTATTTACCTTGGTATTTCCGTGTAGCCCCAATCCAGACCCTTTAACTGGGTTATTATGAAGAACTCAGCAACAGCGCTGCCTCAGTTTTTGCAGACAATATATATTTACTAGAAATTTATTCTTCTCACTTTAGCATAAAATACCCTAGAAATGTGTTTTTCAGCTCAACACCACACTGCCTACATACTCCCAGAGTGCAAAGTGCTGTGCTGGTACTGATGCTGTCATCTTTTCTTACCTACTATTTCTTTATAAGGACAAGACAAATATTACTCAATATCCCAAATTTCTTTAACAAGCTGAAAGCTGAGTGTTTGTTTGCACACACAACATTAAGCGTTGAACATAGTCTGCAAATAGCTTAAGCCTTATGCTACTGGTTATAATTGGGTAAGATTAGAACAAGGTAGCTAATGATATAATTATAAACAAGCGTTTGTGAATGAATTTTCTTCAGATGAAGTTTGCAGTTATTCTGCACTTGTTTCTATCTGAGAGTTGCTTGATGCTCTTTCCTATTACTTGTGCAGAATGCCCATCTCAGTGCTCTAAACTGAAATTTGTGGATGATCACCTCATGAGGGAGTGAATGGGGAAAAAAAAGCAACAAACCCACAACAAAGCTGCTCACAGGTAAACAAAACAACATGAACTGGAGATCACAATAAAGATGAAACAATTTTAAAAAATGCAAAAATATGTAAAGCTGTAAAATGACATTCATTTTACACTGAAAATGGAGAAAGAAAAGTCAAAGGCAAAAATGTCTTGAAATGTGGATAGTTTTTACTTTAATATTTAACTGTCACTTTAGATGAGTGCCCACAGAGCTCCCTGGCCCTTTACAGATAGAGATAATTAAAATTAATGCAGTAGATATACTGACAAACATTTTAAAAAAAAAGTCATTAGAATGCTTCACTTATAAATAAGACATCATATTGTGTATTTACTTAAAAGAAATTTTAAAAATAGTAGAAAATCCACATATTTTATATAACTAATTGACTAATGCCCAAATTGTTATGCTCCTTAATTATCGCAGCCACAGAACAGCATAGATCAATACTGTGTTGATTTCCTCTACTCAGGAAGTAGGTCACAAACTGATTTACCATTCTGGGAAAGAATTTGCATGGCAGACATTTTCATTCATCTATTATTTCTGTTGTGTGGAAAGCACATGAAAATCCTGCTTGCATCATCAGTACAACATCTGAACTCTGATGTACTTTAGCAGCTTGAAATGAATGAGCAATTCATAAGCTAAGTTCACTTGGTATTTAATGCACTGGTGAATGTTGTCCCCTATAGGTTATGCATCAAGTATGATAAGCAAAGTAAGTGAGAATTTTGCAACCTACAAAATAGTTTCCTTATGTTAGGGATGGTCTGAGTTACTGCTGAGTTCCTTAAACACTGCATAATTATCCGTAGCAAAAGATGAAATAACTTCTGTCTTCCTAACCTCCAAAATCACCATTATTATGACAGAAGAAGCAGGATTACTACCTGACACAGGAGCACTTCTGAAAAAAATAAATCTCTGCTTAAAGTACCACACCTGCTCAAAACACCAATAGCACCAAATGCACTTTTGTTTCAGCTACTTAGCTTGAAAGAGAATCTTTCATTCCACTATTTGAGAGCTAAAAAAAATCGTTACCAGCAACAATAAAGTTGCTAATGGTATCTGGATACTCAGCACATTAGAAGATACGAAGATAAATGGCACAATTTGCTAAGCTATATAAAAGTTAGCATAGTGCATCTTAAAAATCTCCCCAAAATTCAGGAATAACATTTATGTTTTTTATATATTAGAATACTTTAGATATCCAGAAATAATTTTGATACTGAAACTTGTATCGTGGTTGCTGAAGACCTAGTTTTTAATAGTCAAGTTTTTAAACAAACCTTGACCTTTAATAACTTAAAAAGTTTAAGTTTAAAAATTCCATTGCAAAATCAGCGTAAGAATACAATTTCATCTATAAGCAGAAAGTTACAGTATATATATATTCTGCTGGGGACTTAATGCTTACAGAGACATTTTTCCCCCCCAAAATGGAGTTTAACTTACAAATTAATTGTGAAAAAATTGCAAAGACTTTAACAGAAAGCAAGTCTGTTATTAATATATTACTTTAAGTCACATAATTTTCAAAATATTTTTTCTAAAAATTGAAATAGAACAAAAGCTTTACTTTTTTTCATTCTGAAACACATAAAATATCTCATTTACCAGTACATCTCTTGTTCTTCACTATATCATTCATTTGATCTTCAAAAAAAACCTATGCAGCTGGTGTACAATCTAAATTATTTTCAACAACAAAAACAACATTCCAGGATTTAAGTGAATATACCTTAAGAAAAACATAGAAGCTACTCTTACCTTTTGTCCTCCACATATACATTAGCTTCCAGAGTGCTGCGAACTTTTGGATTCCCTTTTGATAGGCTGGAATATTTCTTGCAAGGCTCATATTTGTAAATTTACATACATATATATATATATTCTTCATGAATTGGTTATACACTTTAAGATATTTGTAAACTGAACAGAAAGTTTTGAAAGCCCCACTAATGTAGATTACTTTGAATCAGATCCAAATTCTTTCAGAACAGGTATGAATATCCACAGTGATGTTGGGCATCTAGCAGAACAGGGTTATCCTAGATGAAAGGTACTTGCTCAGTCTAAAACACCCACTGCACTGGCAAACTACCTGCAAGACTTTGAAATGATTATGGTTGTCATATAGCTGAAAACTTTCACTGAGCCAATCTCAACTTGAAGAGAAAGAAAAAGAAAACAGAAAAAATTCTGTTTTATCACTTCTGCTAGTAAAAATTTCTCATTTGCCTAGCTTACAGGCATGTGAAAATGAAAAACAAAAAAAGAGTTTTTGACCTAAACGACTTCACCACCATCTCATATGACAGTCAGCTCCTAGATAATACTCGCAGTTTCTTGATTTTTTCCTCTGCCTTCTTAGAAGTCACTTTAATATCTTTATTGTTTCAAATTCAGACAGTGAAAGTCAATATTTCTCTCTTTACTTGCCATGTCTTCAGTAGGAATGTGTATAGGATAACCAAATTTCAGCTGGCAGAACACCTGCTGATTTTATGTCCTGTGTCAACTTGAGAAAGCATCACAAACTTTTAGACAGACCTTGCTTTCTTTTTTTTCACTGCTTTGTTGATGCCCAGGCTTTCCAGTCTAATGTAAATACTCTTAAAAAGATTTATCATTAGAAGCTAAAACTGAAAATATAAAATTAAAATTAGCATAAATTTTTAGTCTTAGGAATTTCCAAAGATCAACAATCTAAGGCATAGAGTTTGAACAATAAAACACGCATTTGTTTACTTATCCAGTGACATCCAGTATAGTCATGATAAATTTACCATATATACTCAAAATTATTGACATGTTTTTCAGTGAAAAATACCATATAATGGATCAATGTGATCAATGCAGCATTTCTTTCAGATAATTAACTGCCAAGAAGAGTCCTTCACCACAGCAGCCAGCTCCTTGTAAGAAGATAGCACTCCAGATGAATATTTGGAAGGACAGTGCAGTACAGTCATTGACAATCTCATCTTTTGGTAAGCCTTCTCTATGAATATGTTGTTTTCTCTTGATGTTTCTTAAAGGAATAACTGATTCGAAAACAAAACAAGAGCACATTAACTTCACATTGACTTTTCTAAACTCTTTCAACACATTAGCTTGTTGTAATTTTCATGTCAGTATTTACTGAGATACTGAGAAGTTCTAGTACATTCGCTATCATGTCTGTAAGATTTTGGTTTCTTAAAATGTGAAGCTATTGAAAGAACTGTAAGGAATGTGATCTGGAGAAATGCAAAGAAGTACTGAGTGAAGGTGAGTGGAGTATCTACATATGAAAAAAAAGTAAGAAACTGACTTAAAACAGAAATGTATTTTTTCCTTCAAAGCTGTTAAGATTGAATTTGAGCTTACACATTAAGTCCTGAATAGGTTCAACAGAACCATGTGATTAAATAATAAAAAAAAGTTATTAAAGTAAAAAGCAGGCAGTATTAGAAAAATATGTCCTTTTTGGGAGGAAGAGTAGGAAAGACAGACAAAAAAATGGTAGATAAACACAACTAAAAATCATTTTACATATTAAGAAGTTGAGTGTTTTAGCTTGAAAAGGCTCATAAAAATGTCTACAAAGGAGATAAATGCTTTCTCTTTAACTAGCAGCCAGATTGAAAGTCAGTGAGAACTGAGTGACAAAGGATAAGAAACCACAGATTTATTAAAATCATTGTTTTCCATCTGATTTTGTTGAGTTAGAAGTTAAAATGAAATGTGCTAGAAACTGTACTTCTACATCTGACAGAGCTGAAATTTGGAAAGGCTTCAGGTAGGAGTGTATCTGTGCAATAGTTAAGATATGCAAGAAGATATGCAAGAAATGCACTTTGCCTTTTGGACTCTTGAATTCACATTGACTACTTTTCAAAATATGTAGTTTAAATACTGTAGCTTAAAACTGTATTTAATTTGCTTTTCTCAGTTGTTTTTTTTTTTTTTTTTTTCCTCAAGGTCATTTAGATTCACAGACATAGACATACTAGTTAAAAGTTAATTTACTTTTGTTGATTATTCAGCAGTGGAAGTCATATATTTCTCCCACTGGCATCATTACCATGAATTAATAGCACTGCTCACTGTTATTTTTATTGGAAAGAATGACTTTCAACTATTATGTCTCAGCTGGAGCAATCATACAATATCTTAGGTTATCTTATTCATTCCACATTCCATATTAAACTAACTTGAGTGCTACCCTTAAGTGGATGAATATTGTAGGATATAATAAGAGAACATAATGAAACCTTGTTTGTTCAGACGTCTCCCAATCTGGGTTTAATTAAACTCCTTTTTTTGTTTTTGTTGTTATTAATTCTAATCAAGTTTTGTGAATTGGTCTTAAAGAAAATCTGAAGAGAAGACACTTCTCTGTCCTAGAGGCTCAATTCTGCATTCATTGCTTATGACATTTCTGTAGTATTCTCCCAGTAATTTCAGTGTTTAGGGATAGAGGGACTGGGCCTTGGCAAGGAACGTATAAAGGCAAATCAATTTACCTTTCCTGAAAATCCAATAACAAGGACTAAGAATACAGTGCCAGTTGGAGCACGAACCAAGGCGTGGGGAAAGGCTGGCATCTCCCCAAGTGCTCATGGAGCTACCTGACCCTGACCACGTCTCACCCATAGTCCACTGCAACCAGTATGCATCAGATTGGCCCCCAGCTGGTGCCCATGGTGCGTACGAGTAGAGAGAAGCTGCCTGGCTACCTATGGCCCATAGGTAGCCATAGGTAGATGGCTACCTATGCCATCTACCTATGCTATCTACCAGATGGTATGTATCATCTGGTGTCAGGATAACAAAGCTTGTATCTGGCTTATTCTTGGCTTTCACTAATTGCTGTCTATATGATCAAGGAAAATTTTTTGGGAGGAAAACAGTGACACAAAGGAAGTCACGGTGGGCCATACATTTATTTGTGGCACTTAAGGGGTGGGCGGGTCTGATTTCTGTTCTCTGCATGGAACAGTATTTGCCCTGTTGACCCCTTGTCCATCAGCTGTAATAGTTTCTGTCTGGCTGGCTCCTGTAGCAATGTATTCGCAGTTCTGTGCCTGTTGTAAGAATCACCATCATAAAAGACTGACAAATGAAATCAACAACCAGGAGAAAAGCAAAACAAGGAAGCTTTCCTTCTCAACAGAATAAAATCTAGCATTTGTTTTTCGCCTCACTGTTAGGCTCCTCTTTAAATAAAGCAATCAGAAGTTTAAACAGGGAGGAAAATTGCTCACAAATCCAATAAAATTTGGAATCTGCAGCTACCAGCAATACCAGGGGATTTCCACCCAATATATTTGCCAACAAATCAATAACAAGAGTAAATCCTTCTACACTAAGGACAATCAAATGCTCACTAACAGGTACCATCACCTAAATGAATATAATCCCCTTAGTGCTCTGTATGTGTCAAAGTTAATACCAAAGGAAGCTTACGCTTTATATGTGATAAGCTAAAGGATATTTCTTAATAATGGTTTAAATAAAAGGAAATTATGGAGATTTTGAATTTAATGATTATGAACTGACTTTGCTCCACTGAAGCCTCTTCCTGAAATGCTGGGTTTTCTTATCCCAAAGAGAATACTAGTCCATCAGGACTTATGCTAAGCCTGAAATGAATTCACAATACTTTTAATTTGGAGGCCATCCGAAAAAGACTTTTTTTCTTTTGTCAGGATGTTTATCTGATGTTTACTTGTGACTAAAGGTTACTTATACGTTCTGCACAGGATCTTTAATATTCAGCTGTTTCTTTTTTGACTCGTTTCTGACATTATTATCATTTGCAATTATCATGTAAAATATGGTTCACGAAACTTTCTGAGGTACCCTAATGTTCTTTGCCACCATCTATCCAAAGTGGTTTAATCTTTTATACTCATGAGTCCTGCCTCAGACTCTAAATATTCACCAGTTGGTGACTTAGACGAAGAGTGGAAAATCCATAGATGGAAAAGAAACCCACAAAATCACACACACATGCACAAAAAAAAACCAAACCAAACACACGCACACACACACAAACAACTCCGAACCAAAAACCCCTACCACAACAGAGTTTTTGTTCTGTAAGAAAAAAGAGAAAAAGGCAACAGAGATCCTTTCTCTAGGTCCTGCCCATCTTCCAAGGGAATAGATGAAAAGGTAGCAAAAAAACCCAAGATGCACTAAAATGCAAAGCAGCTGGCTGGGGAGCCTGGCTGCAGGACAGTCTGCCTTGTCTGGGGATCTGGAGCTGGAGAGGGGTTGCAGCAGCATTTCCACTGAGCTTTCTTACTATGGAGGAGCTCCAAGGCTTCCTGAAGGGCTCAGGCCCTTGAGAGCATCTGTAGAGAAGAATTGCTAGACAGATCGCAGGACAGAAAACAGATTTAAAGTAGAAAATCCAAAAAACCAACATAATTCCAGAGACGTTCTGAGAAAAGTGCCATATATCATTGTCAAAACACACCAGTGAAAGCCCTTGTAGGCAACCCTGATTTCCATAGTTCCCTCTGAAAGTAATGCTTCTATTTATTTCTAACAGATAGGAAGAATAAAATTTGATAGAGCAAATTCTCAGCTAAAAAACACTGCTTTTTCAACATTAGTCACGAGCGTTATCACAAGCTATGCATTTTTACCAGCAATGAACAAGATCCTGCATGCTGTGCTCATGAAAATTAGCACCAGCAAAGAGGACCCACTGTTTCACAGGTGCTATGATGGCATAATTGCTAGGAAAACATAGCCTACACAGTCCATCTTTCATTGGCCCAAACAGATGGAATTCAGAAGGTGACACATCCAGACTATACTGTGGATGTGGTAGGACATTTCAGCCACGATCAGCAGTATGCTGCCAGTGTGCTGCATGGGTCTTCAAACTGGTATGGGGCCTGATGTTGTGTTGCAAGAGAAGGGTTGTCTTCTTCTCTGGCCTGACTCTGGAACTTCAGGCCTTCAGCTTAATCAGAATCGTGATCACAGCTGATGGCTTGTTCAAGTTCCAGAAAAACCAAGTAGATGGATCAGCTCTTTCCTATCCCAAAAAGTGCACTTCACTTTACCTACTGAGGCCTGCATCTTGTCAATAGGGAATTCACATGTCACCTCTCAATGGACTGCCATTTAGACTACAGTTCATAATGGTGACACCATCATCACCTTTAGCCTCATATTGGTTCAATAGGTCCTGACAGACTTGCATACAGTGTCTTTCTGTTCCTGTGTGAGCATTCACGAGACTCATCTGGTGCAAACTCAAAGTGCAAACTTTGGGATATCCCAATTTTGCCACCACTGTTTCCAATGCATTGAAGCTGATACTCAGCTCTCTACACAATGTCCTGATTGTAATCTGCCGGTTTGTGTGGATGGGCTGGTCGAGACACTCTTCATTTTGTGATGTGACAGCTGTGCATGGCCACCTGGAATGTGGCTTGTCTTTTACGTCGCTGTCATCACTGCTGAAGCACACCACCCACTGCCTCACTGTGCTCAAATCCACTGTTTGGTCTCCATAAACGCTTAGCAAAAATTGATGACTGTCAGTGGGTGCTGTTTTTTCCAAATGGTGGAATTCAGAAACACACCTTTGCTTCATATGAACTTCCATGTCTTAGTGCCCCTCTGCAGCCATCTGTCATATGGCAACAAAATTTGATGAAATTGTGGTGGGAAGTTTCAACCTCTACTGCATCCCACCAAGATCTGTCTCTGATGTCATGGGTAAATGTAATCAAAGAGGAAGCATTACTTTCAGAGCATCCCTTATAGAATCTTCTTGTTTAAGGTGAAAGTTGCTTTTTTTCTTTTCTGAATCAGGAAACATCTATTAACATAAGTATTCTAAGTACTGGGAACAGATAGTCTGGCCTTCTGATCTCCGGTTTAATGTCCAGATTTCTTTATCTTGTCTGTGGTAGACCATACTGTATCTTGAACTTAATAAAGGTCTTTGGAAAAAAAAATTATAATTGAGGAAAATAGTACTAGTAAACACCTCATTGCACCTCCTTTCTGATGCAACATGATAAAGCTACAATTTCTTTCCCTTTGCGATATCTTCCTGAAAACCCAAGTTATCCTGATCTTAATTCCTGCAACAGAACATCACAGGGAGGCCTTTTAGCACCACCCATAGTTGAATGTATGATTCATGCATTTTGGGAATACGTTGTTCGGGACAGGGTGACTTGTATACTCTGGGTTACTCTGCCTGAATTCAAGAGCGTAAAAGAGAATATTCAGAATTTTACAGAGGTGTGTGAAAAATTGGCAGTATGCTAGCTGATTTAATAAGCTAAGTGTAAGAAAGTAATGAAACATTGCAGTTTGACAGAAGAGAGAGCATTCTTTTTTTTAACTAGGTGTTATTGTTATGATGGCAATGAGCAAAATCAGTATTCTGTCATTAGCAGGAGGAAATTTGAGATGCCAGTCCAACGAGTCACAAGTTCAAACAGTGAGTGTTTTAAATATACGTACAATATATAGCAATAACAAGGTGCCTTTCACAAAATGATTTGCACTCTAATAATGGCTCTCGTTACACTCTAAAATTTCATTACTCTCATACACTCTAAAATTTCTATAGGTTAGATACATTTACTGAGCAATGCATTAACAATCTGAAAGGTATTTCCCAGGAAGTCAGGAAAGGAGGTATGGAAAAGAACTGCTCCTCTGCAGTAACACCTTTCAAAGACAGAAAAAAGATGAATACCGGTAGCAGAAAGCAGGACAAGTGAGCAGTTTAACATGTATATCAGTGAGGACATGTAGTTTGAGACAGAAAATCTGCTGTTTAATGAATAGAACCAAAAAAATAATCACACTGATTCTGAAAGTGTAATGTTGTGCAGGTCTTTGAACACCACAAGGAAGAGAATCAAAATGGTTAATTTAGCGGTGATGAAGACTTTGCATCTGATACCAATTCTCCTTAAAACATACACTCATCAACATGCTTCACTTCAACACTGATTTATACCTCTGTTCATATCAAATGCCTAGATGATTAACAAAAGGCTAGTAAAGAATTGCATGAAAAGCCTTAATGCAGGCCTAATAGCACTTCTCTATGAAGTGCATTGCAGCGTTCAAGCTAATTACTTCATGCAATTAACCAAAGAAATCTTTTGACTGTATTTTATGGCCTGGTCCTGCAAGAGTTATCTGTACTCCTTGCTTAAAATATATGAGCAGTCTCCTTTGCATCATTAGGATTCACATGCTTAAAATTAGACATGTGAGTAATTTTTTCTTCTTTGTAGGCTAGGGCTTTTGCAGAACTAATGAGACACCAGATGGCTGGATGGCACTGAACTTTAGAAGACGAATAAAGAGTAATCGTGGAAATTATCTTCTGATAAATCACATTACAATCCCTGGGAAAATAATGGAAGTGAGCTTGCCTTTTTTTTTTTTTTTTTTTTTTTTTTTAGTAAGCAGCTGACAGGAGAAACTTGAGCAATAAACAGCAGCTAGTGAAATTATGATATGCACATATGCGCTGGAACACAGGGTGACTAGAGTGGGGGGTTGAAAATTTGTAACAAAAAGCAATTTTGGATCATGCATGCAGCATTAGTAGACATCAGATACAATACCTAAGAAATCATACTTGAAAAATTAGTCTCAGATGGGTCTGAAATGAGCACTGTCTTGTAGATTTAAAATTGTCTGACAAGCTACAAATGAAGGGTAATGATAGATGGTGAGATATTGAGCTTAGGGGGAAAAAAGAAGCAATACAAATGTTTAAGCACCAGAACATTTTGACTGATGAGAAGCATTTGTGAGAATTATGTAGTGTCTCTGAACATTGACCAGGGGTGGTATGCAATGACCACCATGCTGGGAGAACTTAGGAGAGTGGGCTGAGAAAATAATCTGACATAAATATTAGAAACTAGAAACAATGAGTATTATTGCAAATAAAAAGGCATGAAGGAGGGCAACCATTTTAAGTTAGGAATAGTCTCCTGGAATAAAACTTGCATAATCAGTGAGTGGTTTTACACATTTTTGGATGTCAGGAAATAATATGGACATTTAAAGATGGGAATGGTGAGGCAGGAAGCTTAATTATATAGTATGAAATGGCCTGACATTCTATAGCTCAGCCACTAGAATGAAAAAAAACTGGTCACTTTTTGCATGTGTATCATTAAATTAATCTCTTTTCTAAAATTAGTTGTTCTTATATTACTGGTCATTACTACCATGTGAGCAAGAAATTAACCTTTGTGCATTCCACTGGCCACGTATGCCCACGTGGCTATTATACCTTTTCTGTCCTGTAGAAATACCAGGCTGTCTGCACAGCAGAGGAGCCATCTGTAACCACAAAGGACAACTGCAGGATTTAACTCAGTAAAGCAGATGAAGGAAAGAGCAAGTATGAATTGATTAGCAATGTCATAATTTGGTAAGTACATTGACGCTTCCATGCGTTTCTTAATCCACATGATAAATAATTGCACTCCACACCCTCCGTCTTCTTCATATTATTGTGTTGCCAGCTTAAAAACACTAGTGCTTAAATAAGAAACTAGCATTATTAAAGCTCACATTTGCTGTATACTCCATTGATGTATACTGCTGTGTTTCAAATAAGTATAGTAAGATAACCTTGGTTATGATCTAGCAGGGCCTTCATAACCTAAGGACTTTTCCGAACATAGCAGGTAGCTGTGATTCAAGCCTACAAGTGCTGTCAAGGTGATGGTATCTAAGAGTCACAACTACTTTTACAGTTTAAAAACTGCAGTAAAAACAAATCAATACACTGACTGAGGCTACTTCTCAGAAAGAAGAAAGAAAAAAATACAAAGGTGAAGATTTCACAAGGTAGATTAGTAACCACTACATGGCAGCCTATAGCTATTTTTTATCCTCAGCTGCACTTCCTGAATTTTGCTAGGTAATACTGCAGCATCCTTTATTGATTCAAACATTTTTCATTTCCATTATAATAATAGAAGTTTGTTCAGACTTAAAATAAGTACAATAGGATCACAGGTTATGCTTCCCACTGTAATACTAACTAGATGTTTTTCTTATCACATTTTAAAAAATAAATGACTCCAACTTTCAATCCATCACAAGAGTTACAAAAATACAACAGTGGGTTTGAAAAATTACTTGAACTAGTCAAAAATAAAAATTGGTTAATATACCATAAAAGCTGGGCTTTTTTATTTTATTTCTTTTTTTTTTCCCCCTACGTCACTACATGAGAATCTGTTATTATTACTAACTGGAATTTTAGCTTTAAGAAGGTACTAATGCTGCCAGAAGATTACTTTTTCAGTTTCTGAATCCAACCACAAAGAGACAAAATAACAAGCATATTTTAAAGCCTTCGAATTTTACTTGCTTCCAGAAAGATAGATATTTTACTGGAGAGAATGAAGATTTTGTTTTCCGTCTATTCTTAAAATTTTCACAGTTACACTAGTTTTCAAACAGGGAATCTGACAGTTTTTCTGTCAAAATCTCTATAAAAATCAGCCACTATTGAAAAGCTTTCATTCACTAATAATTTGTACAGACAATGCAAACTTCCAATGGCCTAAAGCAGATAAAGGGCTAGGCTCATGGAACTCACCCCAGTCTCCAAATATGTCTGGTTTTTACTCTGTCACTGTTATGCTACTTGACTGGGCACAAAATGGGCTAGAAGGTGATTTCTTACCAAAAGAACAAAGTCTGCGGGGGAATTCTTCTCTCTTTGGGGTCATCAGTGCCACTGACACCTCCCATGAGTCTGCAGATGCCAGCCTAGGTTTTGGGATGGCTGTGCAAAACCTGCATATCAACCACAGATTTTCTTATGTGAGTAACACAATGCTACACAGAAAAGCAGGTGGTTTTTTTTCTTTTTTTTTTTCTTTTCTTTTCTGCCAGCTATGAGCTGTGGCTTCACCACAGCCCACTAGTGAAGTATTTTTTCTCACAGTTTCATCCATCGTAATACATTGTTATTATGTGTTTTACATTCAGCCCTGCTATTCTTTTGTATTTGCTGTTCTGTTCCTTCTCCCTTTTTAATGAATTTCTTTCCGTCACTCAGTTAGAATCTACTATCTTGCATAAAGTCAGAGAAGTATACTTCAATAAATCACACACAGCCGCCGATATCGGACACTTAAGTTGTGCGAGAAGCCTGTCTTCAAGCCTTCTGAATTTGAGAGAATTCTTTTTGGACAGCTCTGTCCTATAATGCAAATCAATCACTGTTTTTTTTTGGAGCTTCTCTGCTCCTGTGAGATTCTAGAGAAAGAGTCCTCTACTGATATTTACAGGGGCTATTTGAGACTGAGGTGGACAGAGTAGCCACCAGGGTGCCTTGCACCAGAACCCAGCAAGAGAGGCAGTACTGACCTGCTGGGGAAGCAGGAGGTGTACCCCCATGCTGTGAAATATCCTGAGCACTTTCTTCATGAAGCATACCTTCAGGCAAGAATGAAGTTGCACATCATTTAAATATTGTTTCACGCTTTGTTTTGGGCTATCTAATCAGTTTATTTGATCTGTTCTAATCTGTATTTCTGAAAATTATCAAAATATAAAGAGTGCTGTGAAAAGACCATTCCAACCTTCCCATAAAAGGGCTATGTCTTGGAGGTTTTGGATTTGTTCACACACACATACACACACACACACACCCCTTTTATCTCAGTAGGGGTTTGAAAAACCAGCAACAAAAAAATGTTTCTGCTAACTAGCATCTGTCATTTTAAACAGGAATTGATAGCTTTGTTTTCTTACCTTCACAACTTGGCAGCCATTTTCAAGAAAGTAGTGTGTGTTCATGTGGGACTCAGTAGCAGCTTGCAAATAGTCCTAGAGAAGAAAGGAAATTTAATTTCATATCCTTAGTGTAATAGGATGCTGAACAACACAAGGACAGTGAAACCTCCACTGCAGGTAACAACAAATCCCAAGTCCTTTACTTGCCAAAGCTTTTGTTTGCCCATTTCATTTTTCCTTTAAGCAAACAGTAGCTCTGCCATTTGTGTGATCTTTCATCTTTCTTTTTTCCTGCAGTACTGATGTTTGTTCCCAGGTATGATATGAATTGCCAAAGTGCTGTCTCACAGGCTTGCTAACAAACTCTGTCGCTGCTCCTGTGCCAAGGAGTGCTCTGGCACAGGCACAGAACAGCCTGCAAACGGCTGCCTTGCTGCTGCATAGAACCTGGCACTTCTGTTCAGCTCCAAAGTCTGTGAAATCTTAAGGCTGCTGAGATTATGTGACTTTTCAAGGTCATAAAAGAAGGGGCAAAGCAGGTTTCCTTATTAATGAAATTTGGGAAACAAAGGTAAGAGTCTGCTCCTACGTAAGCACTGTGGGTTTTTTGTTACAGAAGAAAGGGATTTTGATTTTCAAAACACCATTGCAACTTCTTTCATTGTAAAACATTGTCCAGAAGGAACTTTGTTTCCTTGTACTGCCAGCCCCTGTTAAAAAGGAAAGCTTAAATATACACTAAGGATGATCATAAATAGCTTACAAAATCTCTCTGCATATGAAAGTGATACGAATGACTCAGAGAAACATCAGTCAGATGGAAAAAAATTGGTTCAGATATCTGTATAGGCCTGCATGCAGGGCCTAAAATAGTTTTAATTTCCATGAAATATAAAATAGAAGTGTAGCCATGCACTTCATTTTCTCAGCAAGCTCTCAACGATAACAGCAATTCATAAGCCTCGTCTCTTGAAGCTATACATACATAAATGAATTCCACTCACTCGAGAGCTACAAAACATTATTAGAGACAAAAGCCACCTTCACCAGAAAACTTTTGTTTTTCCTCCATCATTAGAGAGAATGCATCTTTAAAAAACTGAGTTGTGAGCTTTGCACACAGCCACAAAACAACGGTTATACAGGGAAAGCAACTCCTTAGTGGGCAAAAAAAAAAAAGATATTTTGATCCAAAAATTGTGCATTTTTTTCCTTGAAATGAGTGCATGAGCCAAAAATGGCTCATGCCGTATTTATTTTCAATAAGTCATATTATTTCAATATGGCTTACTGAAATAAATATATTTTATTGAATGGCACAGCATAAAAATCTACATATCTTGTTGAAATATTCAGTGAGTCATTCCTGCCTAGCAAGTGCATTATTACATACTCTTGTTCTAAACACAAAGACAAACAACTGTAGAAATTTTTGCATACATCATTTCAAATCCATCAAGCACAGTACATGTTACAGCCTCTATTCAGCAGCATACATTTTTTCCTGTATCTGAATCAGCTCTTAGTTATACAAAAAAATATGGGACAAAAAATCCCAACTAGTCAGTCTGCAGATAAAACACAATCCTTTACTGTGCTTAAATAAAGAGCTGCAGAGAAATGGTCTGATTTGTGGAAGTGATGGAAAGAAAGGAAAATAAAGGAACTCATGAAATGATGTTCATTAAAAAAAAAAAAAAACAAAAACAACAAACAACAACCTGATTTTAAGCCTTTGCTTCACTGTCTAACTTAAGTGTTGGTCAGTTCATCTCATTAGCATTGTCTATCCACATAAGCAAGAGAAAGCAAGATTTTGAAGTGGGTGAAGATGACAGTTCTGTTCTATAATGTATTCAGCCAAGGTGCCCTTATTCATGTATTATACACATGGGCATTTTTAATATGCAGTTGCAGCTATTTAAAACCTTGCTAATGCTTCATGAAGGAAAAAAAAAAAAAAAAAAAATCAGTCTACTGAGATTTTCACAGATATGACATGTCATTTTTCCTCTCACTATTTTAAAACGAGTGGCATCTGTGCAAAAGCTGAATTCTTGTTACTGAAGAGTTAATGCACCTTTTCTCTGAGATGCTGGAGTGAAGCTCACTAACATCTCTTTGAGTTGTGATGATAGATGCTGGTTCCTGTTTTCAGAGAGAGAACTTCCAGGTTTCTGAAAATGGGGAAAAATGTCCTCAGCAGTGTGGTTGACAAGAATGGTGGCTTTTGTTTAATTAAAAAAAAAAGAAAAAAAAAAAAAAAAAAAGAATTTTAAATTTAAATTCTTCAGATTTGTATTAGTGATGTATTCACACTGTCTAAAATGAGCATCCAACTTGATGGTTGACTTACTCTTCTCTATTCTCTTTAGCCACAAAGGAGAATTGTTGTTTTGACTGTGTTTTTGTTTTTCGTTTTTTGGGGGTTTTTTTGGTTTTTGTTTTTTGTTTTTTTTTTGCTTGTTTTAAACAACACTGAATCAAATGTGTGATACCAAGAGTATTTAGACCTGGCCTGTTTGCTACTGTTGCAGTAAGAAGTGAACGCAGATGCACTGCTTAATTTATGTGGAACATTTTCCAACCAACAGAAACTCGCTTATTTTGTTTGGCAAGGTGATTAGAACGTTC